TGTCTCTGCAGTAGATCTTCCACAGTCTGGAGGTTCTGCTCCATAGTACACAGCTCCTCCCTGATCTGCTGTAGCTGTGCTTCTATGGCCTGGGCCTGTCTGCTCTGCTCCTGTCTCAGAGCTCTGAGCACAGACTCCTCCTCCTGTTGGAGGAACCGGTGTAACCGCTCAAACTCCGCCCTGATGTGGCGTTCACAGAGCTCCACCTGCGCGTGTGCCAGCTCCTGTATTTGCTCACACTGAGTGTGTGCGTGTGAGGCCTGCTCTCTCCTCTGGGACAGAGACTGCTGCTGTGAGCGCAGCTGCTCCTTCACTTCACTCACAGCTGAGTCCACAGACACCACCTTATGCCCCGAGTGAAGAGAGAACTCACACACAGGACACAGAGGGCGCCTCTCGTCCAGGCAGAACAGAGGAGGTCTGCTCTGGGTGTGAGGAGCACACCACAGGCCTCTCTCCTCCTGGAGCCTGCTCCTTCTGTGTAAAGGACAGAGTCAGTTCCTTCAGAGCAAAGTTCACATCTAGATGTTCTTTTGAGGACTTCCTGCGACACACGGGGCAGGTCCTGGTGCTGTTCTGGTCCCAGTAGTTTGTGTAGACAGACGGAGCAGAAGCTGTGGTGACAGCCCAGAGACACTGGCTCTTTAAAGGTCTCCAGACAAACAGGACAGGTCAGAAAGTCCTCCACTGCAGAGATCTTCTCCATTTGAACCAAAGAGTCCAGACTCACACGGCTGTGTCCTCTGTGTCCGACGCCCTGACAAACACTGACTCAACACTTCCTCTTTACTCTGAATGTTCCTTCCGTGTTCCTCTCACATGTGAGAGGAACAAGCAGCAGCAGCAGCAGCAGCAGCAGCAGCAGCAGCAGGGGGCGCTGTTGCTCCATTTTACACCTTTACTGTCTTTAGTCTGTTTGTCTGTCCTGAGTTTTAGGTCTCGTGTGAGCGCTTCTGAGGTTACAAGTAGGTGAGAGTTCAAAATAAACCACACTGTGTCTTTAATGAACATGTTTTACTCTTTTCTAAATGTGAAGGGTTCAGTGCAGAAAAGAAAAAACTGTATTAAGATGAAATGTATTTTAAAAGTGAACAGCTGAAGGGTCTGCGTCCCCAGATCTTCTGGATTCTTCTGGTTTTGACTCTGAAGCTTCTGTTCACCAGAGACGCACTGATACTGATACTGATACTGATACTGGTATCGATATCGGTTCTGTCTGTTTTACTGTTTGATACATTTGTGTAATAAGAGGATTTAGTGTTTGAGGTTTTGCCCAAAACACCTCGTCATATTTTTAAAGCTGTTTTGTTCTTACTTTAAATGATAAATAAAAGTTACAAAACACATTTTGTTTAGTTTTTTCCATCTGCTGTTTGTATTTAAATGAAATAAATGACATGTTCAGTCTCTGGTATCGGTGGATATCGGGGATCAGCAGATACTCAGTGTTTCCCATTAACAGACGAGACTGTGGCGCCCCCTGCAGGCTAAAAACAAGACCAAAGAATGTAACACAAATGATGATACTTTAATTTTATAATATTGTCATGAACAGAGGCGTAACTAGACAGAATCTGTATCAGTTTGGGTTTTTTTTAGTCTCGGTATAAACCACTGGGAAACTCTGGACACTCAAAGCCAAAGTATCGACATCGGTATCGAACAGAAGAAGCTGGATCGGCTCACGGCTCATTGAGATGAAGCGCTCGGCTGCGGTTCAAAGATTTGGTTGATTCTAAAATATTCGTGTGACCTCAGATAAAACCATTAGATCCTCCAGCTCCCGGGGACGTGGTCATGAAGAACAAAGGGTTCACAGTTCGAGACGCCGCCTGAAGGAGTCACTCTAAATATTCCTTCCTCCCTCGTAAACAGTGTTGGGAAGTTTACTTTTAAAACATATTACAGATTACAGATTACACACACCAAAATGTAGTTTGTAATGGAATCCATTAAATTACTTAAGGTGAGTAATGTAATCTGAATACTTTGGATTACTTTGGATTTGCTGTAGAGAAACAAAGACGAGGAAATCTTCACATGAGAAGTTTTGTCTGATAAAAAACAATAAAAAAGCTGAGTCTTTACTGAACCAAATTAAAAATATTATTGATAGAAGACGAAGAAACACAATCCATGCAGCATGATTTAGTTCAGTTAAGTCCTGGTTTAGTCCTGGTTTAGACCTAGTTTAGACCTGGTTTAGTCCTGATTTAGTCCTGGTTTAGACCCAGTTTAGTGTCCGGTAATGAGTGGAATTACTGGGAAAAAAAAAAAAAAGGGGATTTAGCCTGAAATGTGAAAACAGGAAAATCCCTCTGTTTAATCCATTTATTTCAGCAAAGTAACTGTAATCCAATTCCCATTCACTGAAACAGTAACTGTAACTGAATACATTTACTCATCATTTGTACTCTGATTACTCCGGTACATGTAATCTGTTACTCCACAACACTGGTTGTAAATGGCGACTTCACCCAGGAGGAGGTTAACAACAACATTTCAAGGACGAGTTCAAGATCCTTCAGTTTAAACTACATCCCACACCAGGTCATGAGGAATGGAAACAAAATCCTTAAAGTGTTTGTGTCTGACCAATCTCCAAACCCCCGTCCTCCACAAAACTGAACGAAAAAGAAAAAAAAAACAATAAATAAATATTCTTCATAAAAGTAGCAAAGCAAGTTTATGAAGTTTAAAGTTTTGATGAGAGCAGTGTGACAGAGCGTGTGGGAGAACGTGCTCCTCGGAAAATGTTTCTAGAATTTCAATATTTGAAGCTCGTGTT